TGGTTATTAGACTGCATTTTTAATGAGCATCTTGCTCATCATTGTTCGGTTCAGTTTCACAAATTTTACTCGAAGTTTGAAGTATGCAAAGTTAGTAGCAAATCCTGTTGCAGTCTTTAAAGGGGGTTATCTTTTTATTTATTCTGGCCATATGTAGGGCTAATGAGCAAGCTATTGTCAAACAAAAGGCACAGTAAGCTGGTACTCACATGGGGGGCATGCAACAATTCCAAAATATAAAAAAAACAGTATCTGCTCCTATACCCAATTGTAATCAGCTCCAACACACACCTTCATTTAACTGGCAATAGGCTGTTTACAAGGAAATTTTCACTTTGCAAGGGTATTTTTTCTTAGCTCAGTGAATAAGGTGAAACTCTGCTGACTTTCATCATTCAGTCATGTCCATACAAAAATATATTTTTTTTAAATTTCTTTGCGCATGATTGAATATTTTTTGAGAGAATCTTCATCACATTCACTAAACTAAGTGAAACGTTTATAGTGAGGTAGCTGGGTTATCTATTTCTTGAAATTATTGGCTACTGTGACTCAAAAGACCAAGAGAAGGGCTATGCACTGTGTTATATGATGTTCCTTATTTCTGGTGGTGAACCTGTGAACTATTAAACCAATGCATTTACCACAAACCTATGGCAGCAGCAAATCTAAATCTCATTTATACTGGTAAAACACTTCCTCGCTACATAAGCACTTAGATTACCGATAATCAATAACTTTAGTTTTAGCAGGTCAACCCAAGAGCTGACTGATTGAAGCTAAAAAGTGTTGGTTATATGTTTAGATGAAGCATTGAGATCGTGAGGAATGCTGAATTAAGTTTTCCTTGTTGAGAAGAACATTACATGTATGAAAACAGCATTGTGAAGGAAACGGGGAGGAAAAGAACTTCCTGTGTATCATAGATAAGCATGCACATAGAGATAATGTAAGAACATCTGTGAAATTAATGAAGTTGAACTGGAAGTGGGTTTTCCAACGTGATAAAGATCCAAAGCACACCAAGGAATGGCTTAAAAATAAGAAATGGAGGGTTATGGACTGCCCTAGTAAAAGTCCTGATTTTTTTTATCCTTGAATTTTTGTTGGGGTGGATCATGAAACAAACAGTTCATGTAAGAAAACCAACAAACACCTGTCAACAAAAGGTATTTTGCATGGAGAAGTGGTAACAAATTCCACCAGGTTAATGTCAGAGACTGGTGTGCAGTTTTTCAAAACACCTAAAGCAATACTAGCTTTTGATGCCAAGGGTCCACTTTCTTCTTCCACAACACATTATTACATCTATTGATATTTTTGGTAAATAAATGATTGAAAAGGCTAATTGTTCTTGTGTCCTTATTCAAATAAATTACATTTATCTGTAGACAACGTTTGAATAAAGATCTAGAGGGTTATTCGCTAAGCTGTCGAAGGCAGCTGAATAAATAATTGAACTGAAGTGAAGGCAGCTGAAGCCTCTTCGGCTATTCACTGTAGCCCTGTATTGCTATTTGAACTGTACATCGGCTGCACTAGGCCCGCTTCACCTCCCTTTGGCTCGGCTGAACAGCCTCAACACGTTTAGCTGAACCGAAGGGAAGAACCAGTTCGTATTAGCCTATGCAACATCTGGATCAGTTGAGGTGAACATTCGGCAGTTCATTCCCTGCTGTAAACACCTATTCTCCAAGGGGCCGAACAGCAGAAAGTGAATAGCCGAATGCTCAGTCAGTCATTCTGTTCGCTACCTCAGAGGTAGTGAACAGAATAAAATATGTTATGTAAAAGACAATTTTTAAAAAAAAAACAGCGCAGGGTCCCCTTCCCAATTCATACCAGACCCTTTAGGTCTGGTAAGAATGTTAAGAGGGACCCTCGATGTTAAAAAAAGGGTGGGGTTCCTTGCAAAGTCATTCCAGATCTTTTAGATCTGGTAGGAATTTTATGGGGGACCCCCATGCCCCCCCACCCCCAAAAAGAAGTGGAGTCTCCCCTATAATTCCATACCAGATCCTTAATAGTGATGGGCTCCATGTTCGAGTTGACCAACAGTTGGACTCGAACATCGCTAGTTGGTGGTGAGCTGCTGGAAAGTGGTCTGCTATTCCCTTCCGAAGATGAAGACCCAGGTGAGGTGCTGGCAACAGGGCAGAGTGCCACGAGCCTCTGCCTGGCAACGGGTACACCCCCGGAGTTCCAGGGAGAGGAGGCAGATGGCCTCTCTCCCCAGAAGCCTTGTGATTTCCAGGGAGAGGAGGTAGCTGACCTTTCTCCCCAGCGGCAGATGGAGATCCAGGGAGTGGAGGTAGGGTATTTGCCCGCCGAGGAACCCACAAGCTGCTGCGCACTGCACAGTGCCGTGTGAAGCCCTGATTGGGTAAAGCAATGTACCTAACCACAGGTCAGGTGCTTTGCTTTACCCAATCACAGCACAGTGCACTGTGAGAGCCATGATTGGGCAAAGTAATTATGACTTTGCCCAATCATAGCTCACACAGCTAAGTCCTGTTAGGTGCCGGACAAATGTAAACAGTTGGGTGGAGATAGCTAGCTGTCACCTGTAGCTCCATCCAGTTGTTTATATTTTCCAGGCATCCGTCAGAATGGAATTCAGCAGCGAATGCAGTCAGAGTACGTGGCGAGCGGATGGGTTGGCCGGCGTCAGGTTCTTTTTTGTATATTTTTTTTCATTTCGTCGAGTTGTCATCGCGATTGACCCTAGAATTACGTTGTGGATCCATTTTTTTTAAATACAAGACTTGTCAAAAATATGTCTGTAAAGGGGTACCATGCTGTGCATAAGCTCCTATGTCCGCACCCCCACAACCAACGCCCCAGGGCTTGTAGGGAAAATACCTTTGTCCCCATTGGCACAGGGACAAGATGCTTTTCCAGAAAAGCACCCTCCCAGTGCCGAGGGCATATAGCCTAGTATGACAGGGAGGAGGGCTCTCGCTCATCCCCCCCTTTCCTGCCCTGCCAGGCCTCTGTTCGCATCAAGGGTCTGGTTAGGAATTTTAGGGGGACCCCACATTTTTTTCCCATTTTGGGGGGTGGGGTTCCTCTTTACAATTCCTACCAGACCTTAAGGGCCTGATATGACTTTGGGGGGGAACTCCACATGCTTTAAAAAAATAATAATTGTAACTTGGGGTCCCTCCTAAAATTCCTACCAGACCGAAAGGATCTGGTATGACTTTTGGGGGGGACCCCACACTTTTTTTCTTTTTTAAATGGGGTCCCTCCTAACTTTCCTTCCAGACCTAAAGGGTCTGGTATTGTTTGGGAGGGGGAACCGCACACTTTTTTTTCCCTTTTTATAAATGTAATTTTTTGCTGCAGCAGGTTCTATACATTGTACAGATGTGCCACTTTACAGGCAGATATAGGGGACCCCCCAGGCACGATATTTAAAGGTATTTATCATTTTTATTGTTTCACTTTAAGTAATGGTAAAATCACTGCTCCTTTAACCACCTCCCGTCCATGGCCATTCCTGAATGGCGGACTGGAGTTTGTAGGAGCGGGAGGGCGTCATGCCCCTCCCCCCGCTCGTGTGCAGCACTCAAGTGGGGAAACTGTCAGCATGTAAACAGCCAGCGATGGCTCTAGAGACACCCGATGGCTTGAATGAGCTGCGGGTGTGCCGGAACAGCGACGCTCTCAGTGGACATCAAGGGAGTCAGTACACAACTCCCTTTGATCTCTTCTCCTGTCCCCGAATGCAGGAAGTGATGTATATTACATCACTTCCTGCATTCAGTGTCACTCTCCGGTACAGAACACTGGTGCAAAGCTGGTGAAGCAGATCTCTGCTTCATCAGCTTCTCTGGGGGTCCCTAGGTGACATTAGGGGTCTTGAAGACCCCTGATGTCTCCATAAAGAGAACCTGTCATGTGAATTGGCTATCACATAGGGGATTTCGTAGTCCCCTATGTGATAGCAATAAAGTTAAGTATAAAAAAAGTTTAAAAAAAATTAAAGCATAAAAAAAATAAAGAAGCTAAAAAAATAGTCTCAAATAAAAAAAGTTAAATAATACAAAAATGTTTTTCAAGTTCCCTGCCCCCCACATACATATGCAAACATGCGCTGAGTGCGCCAACGTGCAAAAATGAAGATTCTGCCTATTGTGCCGTCTCCCAGATAGCAAGGATAACTTGCTACAAACTTGTGGCAGGGTTAATTTGTAATTCTTGTTAACTTGCTGCACACATTCTTGGCAAGTTGTAGACGTGCAGAACATTTGCAGCACAAGTTCTAGTTGACACTTTTTGAATTTGTAGCAAATTTGCTTGACAAGTCTACAGCAAGAGTCCTGCAGGTCTTAGCAAGAGCTCTGCAAGCTCGCTGGTCTAGATACTTGCAATGCAGACTTGCTGTAATTGTGCAACAAAATTGTGAAGCTTGGCAAGTCTGCAATAGTTTAGCAAGTCATTTTCAAACTTGCGGCTCAATTGCTTGCTATCTGGGCTATGGCCAATTTTGGGTGTGGTCATTTTCTGTGTTTTCACGGGCGCGCACAATTTTAAAGCTAGACATGTTTGGTGTCTATTTAACCCGATGTGACCCCGGCTTTTATAGTTTACCAAACAAATGGTGTGATAATACATGTTTCATAACATTTTATAGGGATATTTTTTTGTTATATAGTAAAAAAATAAAAACCTCAGTGGTGATTAAATACCACCAAAAGAAAGGTCTATCTGTCCCCCCAAAAATAGTATACAATTCAATTCAGTACAGAGTTTCATTACGGAATAAATGTCAGTCACTGAAAAATGGCCTGGCCAGGAAGGGGGTGTAACACCCTGGTCTTCAAGTGGTTAAAAACTGTATTTTTAAAAGTGTTTTTTTCATTAATACATGTCTCCCAGGGCAGTACCCAAATCCCCATACCATTTTTTTTTTAAAGAATATGTTTTTATTGAAGATATTTTCACATACACATAAGAAGACATTTTTGCTCTAATGGAACGGGCCAGCAGTTTACCACTCTTATTACCATATTCATGAAAGTATCGCAGGGTCAGATCCCTGTGGCGTAAGTAGGCCAGATCTAACATAGAGTGAAGTTCCGCCCGGCAAGTGACAATTTCTTGATATAGAGACGGGGTAGGTGTCGATTTATGTTTTAATTCAGCATCTGCCAAGTTAGTCAGAAGCTTGGAAATGTGTTCGTTCCTTTCTCTTTTGAGTCTAGCGCCATGCTGAATTAGTATGCCATGCAGGACACATTTAAGCGCCTCCCATTGTACTGGTGGGGAAGTTTCGTCCAGTGAGTGGTGTTCCCGGAACTCCCTAATTGCTGTCTGAAGTGCCTCTAAAATAACTGGGTCCCGCAGCAGTGACTCATTGAGTCTCCATGATGTAGAACCTTTAGCAGTGCCCGGTACCGCAAAGCTGAGGAAGACAGGAAAGTGGTCTGACCAAATTTGTGGTCCAATGGAGGTGTTCAGTCGCCAGCTGAGCAGGGAGTGGGACGTGAAAAAATAGTCTATTCTGCTGTATGTGGCATGGGGAGCCGAATAGAAAGTGTAGTCCTTCTCTGTCGGGTGCAAGGTGCGCCAGATGTCAATCAATTGTAACGCACGTAGGCGTTTACGAACTACAGTCAGGGAGGGTAGGGAGACGTGTGTCTTTCCCGCGGAGGAGTCTAGTGTCGGGTCAATAACAAAATTAAAATCCCCCCCGACTTAGAGCCCTCCGCTTGGCAAGGGTACGTCGCGACAGATCCGGGAACAGAGATATTTGGGCCCCATCAAAGTCCAGGGGGCCACCATGTTGCGCCTTAGACATTATCTCCTCTTTAAATGTGTAGTAATGCACCCTGCACAGCACATCACGTGGACGGGTCTCTTTGGGATTGCGAAAACCAGGTACCCGATGCACCCTGTCTATTTCAATATGCTCAGTCACAGGGCGGCCCAAGAGGGTGTTGAAGATGCCAACCACTGTGGCCCTAAGATCACGAGGGCCCGTGGCCTCCGGGATCCCCCGTAGGTGAACGTTGTTGCGCCTGCTGCGATCTTCTTGGTCATCGATCTGTGACCACAGGGTATGCAGGGTCATGGCGTGTTGTTGGGTCGCTTGTTGCAATTCGTTATGGCTGAAGACACGGCAGGCATGGCAGTTTCAATCGAGTCCAGGCGGCCGACTCCAATTTATTAAACATGCCCGCAATGTCTTTTTTCGTGGGCAGGAGTACATGCGGAATGAGGTAGGGATATCAGCATCCTCACCCTCCATGTCACTCTGGTCGGGAGACTCCCTTCCACCACTAGTTCGTGTCGACGGCAAGGATTCAGGGGATGAGGGAGATGGGGACGGGGCCCGCTTCTCCTTACCCGTCGCCATCTTAAGTCCTCGCGGCGTCTGAGCAGAGCGCCCTGCTCTGGGGAAGAACGTCTCAATGGCCCGTTTTCTCGTCGAGAGGGTCCTCGAATCCTGTGAACGAGTGCCCTTCTGTGTGTTGCGACCCATAGAGACCTAAATAGGTTCGGTATTGAAGGTTAGAAATCCGCTGGTTTAGGGACAAGAGCCGGAGCTTCAGAACATGCGACTGCTCACGGCCATAGCGAAACCACGCCCCCCCCATACCATTTTTATGGCCAATAACTTGCATATAAGGCTTCAAAATGGGAACATTTTATTTTCAGAGTTCTGGTCCTATAGAGTTTCATTGAGTTTGAATTCAAACTTTTTCCATGTTCTAAAGTTCTACTTTGAACCAAACTCTGGTATGTTCGGCTCATCACTAATTCTTACACCTAGCACTGGCCTAGTAGGCCTTCCTGCACCATACCAGGCCACATGTCCTTAACATTGGGAGGGTGCCAATAAAGACAAGGGCATTTTCCCCCAAACCTGGCCCGGTGGTTGTGGGGGTCTACAGGCAGGGGGGCTCATTTGCAGCTGGGTACCCCCCTTCATAAAGGGGGCACCCAGATGCTGCCCCCCTTGTAGATAAGGGGTAGTTGTTACCCCTACTTATTCACCAAAGAGTACCCAAAAAAGTAAATAAAAACACAACACCTTGAAAAAGTCCTTTCATTGAATAAGTCCTTTATTTAAAGAAAAAAAAATGACATCATGACTTGCTCCATCCATTTGTTTACATTTGGCCTGGACCAGTCATTTTGCTTTGGAAGTTCGGTGGCAGCGAATGGGTCCGTGAACAGTGTTTTTTTTTTCTATGTCGGCGAGTCAGCGGGCGCTGTTCAGCGTGATTGATGAGGATCTACATCATTGTCATTGGCATTGAGAAAAGTGCTTTCCAGAAGGTCCCTGAAGCTGTGTACTTTGGCTGCTGTATGCCCTATTGAGGATAGCATGTACAAAAGCCCTTCGGTTTGGCTGAACCGAAGGGTTGCTGCAGCAGAAGTGATCCAAAGAATTAGCTAAATGTTCGGCTACATCCTTTGGCTCTTTAGTGAATAACCCCCCAAATGTTTGACTATTTAAATATGTTAAAAAAGTCAACAATTTTCATTGCGGTGTACTTACTTTTTCACATGACTGTATATTCAGGATTGACTGAATCATTAAACAATGAAATGTGTATATTTTAGCAATGTATACGGGCAGATTTTATCAAATCAATGTGTAAAAACACATGGAATAAAAGAAAACACCAGGATAATGAGGACAAACTTACTTGAGATGCTGTTTCTCGAGACTGACATGGAGAAAAGGAGGGAAAAGAAAACAGATACAAACAACTTGTTTAACCACCACAGGTAAGACAAGACAAGAGACATGGGGTGACAATGCATGTAAGGGGAATAACAATACCTTTAAACTAGAATCTTTGTCACTATATTTAGGGATGTTCAGATACCAAGTACCAAACTCGGTACAAGTACATGTACAGATACTTTTTCCTCATGACATCACAACCCCGCCTTAGTAAAACAATTGCAGGTGTGGTAATCAGGTGATAAATGCATAGTCTATAGCAAGCACCACCTTCACAGATATGCATGTACATCATGCATATCTGTCTAGGCGGAGCTTGTTATAGACTATGCATGTATCACCTGATTACAACATCTGTTTTTACTAAGGCGGGGCTGTGACATCATCAGGATGTCACATGATCATGGCAGACTTGGGGATTAACTTATTTTCACAGCATGGTGTGTATATATGTGTTTGGTTTCAGTTACATTTGCATCACTGATATGCCTGATGAAGGGGATCTTGTGAGACCCCGAAACTTTGTTTTTTTATGCATTGTGCTATGTCTCATGCGTCAATAAACAGACGCCATTGATTCATTACTTGGAGTGTCTATGTTATTCTGTATTTACCCGACATGACCCCGTATTTTATATTTTACTAAAAAATTGGGGTGATAATAAATGTTTCATAACATTTCATAGGAAAACAGTTTTTTTTTCATTGATTCATGTCCCCCAGGGCAGTACCCAAAACCCCATACCCTTTTTATGGCCATTAAATTGCATATAAGCCTTCAAAATGGGGACATTTCATTTTACAAGTTCTGGTCCCGTAGACTTTCATTGAGTTCAAAGTTTGAGTTAGAACTTTTTCCATGTTCTAAAGTTCTATATAGGACCGAACTCAGCCCATCACTAGTCGCTCAGCTGTCCTGCTTGTGCAAGAGCCACAATGTCTTTTGATTTATTGACTTGGAACAAGCATACAACCATAAAAAAATATGGATTTGTATACGTGTTTCAAGTCAGGGAGTCAAAAACTACTGAAGCCATTGGATCAACATGCCAACCAACAAAACAGAATATTCAGTTAGCAATTATGCGTGCTTACATATGAGATCCTTTTAGCCATTTATAAGCAATAAATAAAATGTATAATACATTAATCTCTGTTGGTGTATAGGTCATTGTTTTCATCTTCTACCTTTTTACCACATAGTCAACAGGCACACGTCTGCTAGTTTATAATAAACAAACCATTATCATGAGAAGGAAAATTAAATCAAACATGTGGGTGTCACAAAGGATTCTTACAGTAAAACAAGTGCAAAGAGAGAGATACATTATAAGATACAAAAGGAAATTAGGGCATTGGAAGTTTTATAGAGAAAAACCTTATTTGACATGCTGAAGAGGAACCCCCGCCTCTGTAAAAATCCTTTTGTTTTCATTTAGAGAAGCCAGCTCTCCATTCTATTGGTGTTTCTCATGTTATATGGTTCTCTTCTCTGAAGTGTGGCACTATGTTTACTGAAGATGATGTATTATAGCATCTTAAAACTGCCTCTTGAAACATGCCTGACCTGTGCATGAATTCCAAAGCTCCCTAAACACTTGCCCTACTAAAGCTGAGAACAAGAAAAATGTCAATTTCTGTTGCACATAGAAGATCCTACACATGTCTCTATTTCAGTTTCTTTCTCTGCTACTTCTTCTCATTGTAGGATCCTCTGCAGGAACTCCAACAACAAACATTGACATATTTGCTAATGCACTAACCTTTATTTACAGAATAAAATATCTTTAGTCATAAATATTGTATCATTATTAATGTTGTTTTAATATATATTAATTTATAATATATACATTTAAATCAT